ACACACACACACACACACACACACACACACACACACACACACACACAAAGTAGGGTCTTTCCTGTTTGAAATCTATCCAGAAATGGGATAGTCTGTGATTTGAAATGCTCCATTTCTCAGCAGCTAAACACTCTGTTCCCCCCACACAATCACGTGATTCCAGCAGATTATGTTTAGGGCCTCTAAAAACCCAAATTGCTTGCATTGCTAAGGCATTGTTGGTATGCCCATTTTAATTTAAGTTATTTTTGGTTGACTTGCACCTCACTTGTCAAAGGCATTTAGGAAATCAGATTCTTGATCTCATGGATTTAATCATAAACACCTTGCCTTTTGACTTCAGCAAGCTGGAGTTAAAGACTTGAAAGTGAAATATGTTATATCTAACATGTTCATCAAGGTCACTTTTCCTGAACATGTCAATGTTTTGAATGTGAGACAACCTTTTCTTCTCTTGTTTTTGCTGAGTATGTTGTTAAACAAAAGCAACCCACTCCCTCCTCATGGGAAAAGGAACTTGAGTCAATTTGATTGATGTCACAGATAACATTTCTGCTTAAGTTGTTTTTCATACCGTTAAAAATATATATATCAGTGTTCAGCAGCGTGCAGATATGGCTCATTAGCTCCAGAAGGATGAACTTATAATGATGTAAACAGACACTGATCAGGCTTTGAGAACTGAACATACCAGGATACACAGTTAACTTCAGGTGCATTTGCTTAAACTCAGTGGTTGAAGAAGTACTCATATTTAATTATGTAAAAGTAGCAATACCACAATGTGAAAATGGTCTTGTACAATTAAAAGCCGTATCTTCTACATTTGACTTAGATAACAGTACAAAAGTAACAGCAAAATGTACTGTACGTATAGAATAAGTGCTCCTTGGGCATGGTGGTCCATTTCAGAGTAATATCATATACTATTTGAATATAACACAAAAGCAGCATTGCAATTTTACAGCTGGTGGAGGTGATGCTTATTTTAACGACTTCATATACTGTCAGGTAGTTTAATCTATAACTATCTTATTATATAAATTGGTTAAGTTTTGTTTGGAACTAAAGCTTTCAGATAAATGTAATGCAGTTAAAAGTACAATGATTCCATCTGAAATGCATTACAGAAAAAAGTGGAAATGGAAATACATGGAAATACTTAAGTTAAGTACGAGTACCTCACACTTTCACTTACACAGTACTTGAGTTAATGTACATAGTTGCTTTCCACCACTTTTTGAAGGGACTTGTGTCCACAAGGTGGACCGGGTGATAAGTGACAGTCCCTGAATAACGTGGCTTTAATGGATAAATTAAGTGACCAATCCGGTCATCTAGAAATTGAGTTCATGTACTGATAACTTCACTGATAACTTTAAAATAATGTTTTTGTTTTTTTTAGCAATATGATGAGAAAACCTATATTAACATGTGCAGAAACTCACACAATGTTGCTTTGAATTCTATCGGTAAAATGTTCATTGTGATTGTTATTATCTTCTGCAGCAGCCCAGTTCACTGACAGGAATCAATAAAAGTTTTATGTTGTTTATTTTTCAGAGTTTTCTTGTCAGCTTTGACAACAACTGCGCATTCTATAATAACTTTGTGTCCTGAGGAGCGAGTTTATGATGAGAGTTCTTCCACAATGAGAGACCGCTTGGAAGAGCTGCATCTGAGGGCTCAATACTTTTCTGAGGCAGATAGTGAGACTATCAACCCTTCCTCAGTGGGGGGAGATAATGATGACTCTGTGGCGGCCATAACACCACAGGCTGTGGTGTTTGAGGAAGAGCCAATTATTGAGAATTTCCTGTCTGAGGCTCAGCAAATCAGAGATGATATCACCGTGCTCGACACAGAGGTATTTTGTTTTTGATTTTTTTTGGTAGCGAGTATGTATTTATTTTGTTAATAATTCTTGTGTTGTATTTACTAGTGCAGTGCCTGTCTGTATTATACCTGCCAACTCGAACAACATACATACATGCATATATACATACATACATACATTCAAACATACATACATACATACATACATACATACATACATACATACATTCAAACATACCTACATACTGTAGACACATACACAGACAGAGACTCCTTCTATTTTAGTTAGACATCTATCAACCTGTGTTGCATTGCTATTGCCTAGTGATTTTTTTTTAAATAATGTATTTCTCAATAGTTTTGGAAAACACTCAATTGCTTTGGTTTGTCTTTAATTCTTCTTTTTCTTGTTCACCTTCTTTTTTTCATAATTTTCATTTCTGTAAAACTTGACACAAAGAATAGAAGACTAAGATTGTATGATTGTGCAGTTTATGGTTAAATAAAAAGATTTGCTCAGAGATGAAACAGAACACAACATTCTATCTTTTCTCAATCACAAACAGGTCCTTAAATTTGGCCAGCAGCAAAAGACGTTGGTGGCTGCCATGCGTCGTTTCAGTGTGATGAAGAAAGAGAACAGTATAACCCGGGACATCAAGCTCAAGGCTGAGAGCCTCCATCGACGCTTAGACGCGCTTTCAAAACAGGTCCAAAAAACTGAGGACCAGCAGGGACCTACGTCTGTTACAACGAGAATACAACGCTGCCAGCATGCAGCGCTTTACAGCAAATTCCAACAGGTGCAGATGATCCTACCACTATGGAAACGTTGCATAACAATTTCTTGTTTGGATTCTTGAGTGCACAAAAACTCATTTCATTTTTTTGTATATACATGGTCAGAAATGGATTTGAAACATGAGAATAAAACTTTTGCTTAAGAGAGGTGTCTCAACCGAAATGTTGCCTTCAACTGAAAAAGGTGCTATGCATTTTTATAACTGTCATTGTACATTTACAATTTTGTAAAATGTAGCGGGCAGGGGCAGGGACTCTTGGTAGGCAGGAAAAATTAAACACTATTTTATGAGTGACTTCACAGCAGCAACAAGGTGGAACTCAAATAGCTTCTAAATTAGAATTTTCTATCATTACGTCCAGGTAATGCTGCAATATAATGAAGGTCTGCTGACCAAGCAGGAGCGCTGTAAGCACTTCATCATCCGGCAGCTGGAGGTGTCTGGAAGGGATATGACGGAGGATGAGGTCAATGAGATGGTGGCCTCTGGAAAATGGGAAGTCTTCAATGAGAACCTGCTGAATGATGCCAGAATGACACGGTCACAACTAACTGAGATTGAACAACGACACAAGGTAAGGAAAGTGATAAACAACACTTTGGTTAACTATAACTTGGCCACCACTATCGAATACAAAATAACCAAGTGAACCAGCACATCAAAGTATAAAATGGCGATGTTTGTGTATTTTAAGTGCTCAGGCCTTGTCGTATGAAGAGCTGAATCTGTCTCCCAGTTCTGTCTCCCACCACCTCCAGCCTCTGACTAGTTTTTCCCTTATTCACAGTATTAATTACAGTATCGTTCTCCACCAACAGGAGCTGTTGAGTCTGGAGACCAATATGATGGAGCTGAGGGACCTGTTCATGGACATTTTCATGTTGGTGGATGAACAAGGGGCCTACATTGAGCACATCCAGACCAATGTAGAAAGGACACAGGATTATGTGGCTGTATCTAATGAGAAGTTCAAGATGGCCGCCAGATACAAGAAGAAGAACCCACTTCGACAACTGTGCTGCTGCTGCTGCCCACCCTGGAGATGTTGCCTATAATGGTCATTTCGAAAAAAACATTTATTTTTTCAAAAACTCTCACTTAGCTTTTGGGAGTAAGCAACGTTGGATTGAAGCACCAATAAAGTGAAGGTTATGGCACTGTGTTTTTTTGCTGTTGAACAGAGCGAAGGTGAAGACAGATTCAGCAGAGCATAGAAAACAATTAGGGGGGAAAAGCCAGAATTGTTATTTGAGGCACTTGTTTTTTCCAAAATGTCAGTCGACTGCTGTTGTAAGAGACAGTTCAGTGAGTGCTACTCACCAAACTGCTGCTTATTGGAGACCTTCACTGTCATCTGACAGAGGTCACAAACAAGGGGAAACCACTGCCTCGGCCACTGCTCGATCAGCAACACGGATTTACTTTTTTTCTTCCACGGAGCTCTAGTTAATGACATTTTTTTGAATTACAGTACCTGCACTTTAAGACTAATCTCTATATATGAATATCTATTCTTTTCAGCACAAACTAAAATTTAAGGTAGTGGAGAAAGATTTTCTTTCTGAGAGATTTTGAGCCATTATGTATTAATTTCATTCTCGGTATGCATGCTGATGACATTTTTTTTTTTTTTTTTACAATTATAGTCTCATTTGCATTTCAAAGTATGATCATTTTCTGTAAAAAAAAAAAATATGAATCCTCTTCGGTTTCACAGAGTCAGGGACTCAAATAAAACTTTAAATAATGCGCCTTCATCACAATTTTCTTCATGGTGACAAAACTGCCAGAAATCACTGAAGTCATTTGAAGGCTACATTTCAGGAAATATTTAATTTCTCTGGATGTTTTGTATTTTAGAGAACTTCAATTTATGAATTTGTTGGAAACGTGTCATTGTTCAGATAAAAAAATGCTGGCATACATCATTATTAATAAAATTATTATTTCCCACAAAAAGAGAGCAGTGACTCTTAATGGAGTGGAAGCTCCCGCTTGAGAGAGAACCAGCAGTATAACTGGGAATATGCTGCACATCTGTAATAAGGTAATCTTCATGTTGAGTAGAAAATATCAACAAATGTTCCCTATGGGGAAAGTGACTAAGATATGATAAATTAGTAATTCATTTCAGGTTCAGTTCATACTGTAGTTTAACTAGCCTCTCATCAGCAGTGACAATGATGTTCTTTAGTGAGTCAGGGACCCATGGTGTCTGGTGTCCGGGACAAAATACAGGTGAACTGGGTGTGCCAGAGCCAGACTGGAAAATCTGGTTTGTCTGCTGCTTCCAAACAGATACTGTATGTTCCCATAGGTGAGTAAATAGAACCGTTAACTTGTTAGATAAACATTATAAGCACATGCACATTTTTACTTTGGTTTGAGCTTAAGAGTAAAACTGACAGACAACCATAAGTTCCAAAAATTGACGTTTTGTAAGTCAATTTAGTTGCCCCTCAGGGGATTGATGACTCATGTGACACCTAAAGAAAGACCATCTATCAATGAGATACTTCATTTCGGTTAAGTAGTATTTACACTGCTCCCTCAGTTCCAGGAGCGGAACCAGGTGTGGCATGTTTGAGCTGGTGTGTTTAATGACTTCCTCTATCAGACTGGAAAAGTCTCCTCTTGAATCTGATCTTCTGTGTTCAGTCTCTGAATGGCATTTTAAAACAAATACATAAATGCATCTGATATGTAAATCCAAATATGTTATTCATCTAACAATACATTGTAATGCTGCACAGCATATTTCTGCCTCCTACCAGTCATGATGAGAAAAAATTGAGTACAGCTGCAAATTGCAGGGTTCTTGAACAGCAACAATGCCATCCAGTGTTCACTGCGATGATTGCCAGTTAAGAAATAGGTTATCACTTAATGTATAAACTATTAATGGGCATATTACCACATAAGTCCGTAATTATGCAAGTGTTATACATACATGTAAAATATAACTGAGCATGAAGTTCACTCACCAAAGTTTTTACAATAAAAATATAGATATTGTTGTGGTGTGGTCAGTGTTGTGGAGCCATTATAAACAGCTTGTGGGGTTCATTGCTGAAAACAAGAGAACAGTACTTGCCAATTTAAGAATTCAGTGCCTTCTACATGTCAACATGAATCCTGCTCCACAAAATAGGTTATTGTCATCTCATCTACATTCTCTTGATCATACCTACAGGGTGAACATATTACAGGCTAAGCTGCATTCAAAGCCACCATCAAAAAGAACAGTGGTAAAAAAATGGAAATAGAAAATCTATGAGATAAAATCAAGTGGAATGTCTGCTAATACATTTACAGCAGAGCAGCAGAGGTGGGAGTGTGTGCAGACTTGGGTTTATATAAGCTGTCCTTGAGAACACCAGGCCATGGGAGACTTCACAGTGGTCAGTTCAAAAACCTCTGGACATCTGACCCCCAGGCACAATCTCTCTCTCTCTCTCTCTCTGCTGTGTGTCTCTTTCTCAGGCAGGGTAAGTGTGCTGCTCTTCTCCCAGCAACATCCTGCTACATATACAAACAGTTACTGCCCTCTACAACAACAGCTTTCTAATCTTTATCGGTTCCCTCGTGGATTCATGTTGTTTACCCACAGTTCCGAAGTTGTTATCCAATATGTAGTCTAAAACCTCCTAGCCTGGAGGCAAGTTTTTTTTTCCTCGCCCAAATCAGATTTAACCTTTGACTCTGAGATCGTCATTGTGTTTTCGACTAGCTGCACCAGCTCTGCACACACAGAACACCTGTTCACTGATGTGTCTCCTATCTACTTTGAACCCAAAGACACCCATATTTGTCACAGCTTCTTTACAATATGTTAGCTACCAACAAATAAGCTGATACAGGATAATAAAATATTACTTCAATGCGGTGGCTTTTGCAGTTGATGAGTAACATTTATATTTGTGCATTTACTTGCTTCACATTCAATACAGCAACCGCATATTCATTGCGAGTGTCTCTGCCCATTTTCCAGAAGAAGCCCATCAATCACTTCTGATTTAACGATAATGTGAACATCTGCGACACATGAGAGTCTACGACGCTGATCATGGCTGACAGAGATACGGTGATGTCTCTATGTGGTTATGTACTGTTCGTATTTCTTCTATCTGCCCTGTCAGTCGCAACGTGGATCCCGAAGACTATTCTCCAAATGTCTGAACAACATCAAAGCAGCCCTCCTGTGAGTAACACCAGCTGTGGTTATAGAGAGCTGACATTACTTTACTGCCTGGTTTTATCACTCCCATCAAAATGTGAACAGAGAGATATCAGGACCCTCAGAATGCAATAAATCACAAAGAAACTGAACAGCGATTCTGGAAGCAGCAGCAGCAGCTATAGTACCAGCAATGACACGATGGCTACACTGATTTAGAGTCTTGAATTTGCACAATGTAAATGCGTTCCTGAAAGTTGAATGACATTATTCAAAAAGTTAACACGATGCTGGAGTTTACAGGACCCTGTGTATATATATATATATGTATACACACCACAGTTCAATGGTTTGGAGTCACCTGTTATATTGTTTTTCTTCCTCCCTTCGTTAATTAATATATTAATAGAGACAAAAAGAGCAAAATGCAGACACTGGCCTCAAAAGAAGAAGAATTAAAAGATTAAAAGTTATGTTTTGTCAATGTCCCCACAGTGCTACTTGCCAGGAGACAGAACTGTTATACGCTTTGATTTTGATGATTTAGGTTTCTATATTTTTCATCTGAGACTAATAACCTTTCATGGCTTTTATATCCTGCAGACTTGCAGACTATAGTAATGTTCATCAGGAGAATTAGGTAAAAGGCTGAGATTATTGCCCTATGAATGTTGTAAAAGCATTAAGGCCTTGACATGTATGCTCCTTGGAACTCTTTATAACATCTACACTACAACTTTGAATTAGGTATTTTAATAACAGACTGCTTGAGGTGTTAAGGTAACATATAGTAGCCTCAGTTTTGTAAACTACCTAATGTCAAACGTTGGCTATTATTCATTATCTATCAAAGGATAAATGTTCAAACATAAATATTCTGTCAGAGTGATAGATGAGCTTCAGTAATAAGAACTCTGGGAAGGTCGGTGCGTGATATCCGTGTGTAAGCCGTCTGTGTAGATCCCATGCAGACAGAGTCAACGGTAATAGACACATGTGTATAGCTGCTACACTGACTTAAAAATGTTTTCATCTTTTTTGACAGATGAGTGGATGAATGAACACCATGTTTAATGCTCAGCACATGTGAAACTGGTGTAAAACAAAGGGGAGCATTTTAAGTTATGTATGTGTGTCAGCTCACGGTCACACGTTATTGTTGTTATGGCCACTGTTCTGTTTTACGCATTGATGGAAGGACAAGGAAATGTTATGGTGAGGTGCATCCACATGGCCTTGCATCAGTTCCCCAAGAATAATCATAGTAAAATCCTGACTTTAGTGTAGGAAGTGCCCACGCCCACTCATGTTGATCTTTGTTTGTTCACACGGATACTCAACACTCTCAATTCTTTGAATTGAATATAAGTAAATCTTCAAATTTGGATAAAATCCTAAATATTTGAAGACATCCCTAACCTCTGATTTACATTTTATTGTTTGTAACTTCTGGATGATTATGGATTAAATGTTCTACTCCACTCTCAAAATGCTCCGCAAGAAAGTACAATTTTAATGACTTCACTATTAATCAGTTTCCTCTGTGAGCCACAGGGAAGTTGGAGGTGGCCAGCAGAGGGAGCTGATATCCAAGACTTATGATACCTCAAAATCAGCCATTGGTGTTCTTTCCTGCTCATTACTCTTCAAAAAAGTAATAAAACAATTCTCCTCAGGCTGAATATACCTGCATATAGCGCCCCATTGATGTATTATAACCTCAACCTCAGTAGCATACCTTTCTGTTCCTCAGTGTTCAATATTGATTCATGTACTCAACAACAAAAGGGTGAACAGTGGGAGGGCCTTCCAGAGCCCAGCTGACGCACAACATAAGCACAGAGAAGAGGTGAAAATGAACTGAGACGTGGTTGAATAAAACATGTCTCTGAGGACGTTGCCTTGTTTTACTGCTGTCTGGGCTCAGAGGGAACTGTGAGCCTCCCTGATGCTTAATCCTCGCTGAAATGAAAGGGCAAACAAGTTCAGCCTCACAGGCACTCTCTCTCGCACACACACACACACACACACACTTAGGTATGTACACACAAAGTAGTCATAAGCAAATCCAACATGCATGTACAGCTGTATTCCCAGTCCTGACTCTGCCTTCTGCTTTGTGCATGAGTAAAACACAGTCACCTCATTCGGTGTCACCTAATGCGCAAATGATTACAGGTTTTGAACTTGTTACTAATCTGCTAACTCATAAAGCAGAAAAAAAATCAGCATGTAAGCTTGTACAGTATTTCAACAATTCATAATTTTTTTTTCCCTTTGCAGGACACACTTTTGACCTTGTGAAATAGCGCAGAAGCTATTAAGATCAATTGAGCTGATGCTGTCTCTGTCCAGGCTAGTCTGTGTTACAAGTAACATGATCCTGACTCCACGCTGTACTCTACCTTGTCATCAAACTCTGCAGAAATTGATTAGATGGCTCCCTAAGCCTCATAATGTTATTTACTCTATTGGATAACTGTGTGGGGAAACTGTTGTGCGGTCCAATGCAGAAGCGGTAAGTGCATTCAGCAACATTTCTGCTATCATAATCAAAAGTGGAAAGTTGTGTCTCGTCTACAAGCCAAACTGAAGTGCTCTGCTGACATTAAGATATAATGGAAGCTGTGTGCATTCACATGAGTGTATTAAGTCTAGTACCTTTTTTTTGATAAAAAACAAATGATTATGAATTTATATTATATATAAAATGTATATATTTCCACTGTAATAACTGGCTCAGATTGTTTAAAGTGGCCCTTTTAATAGTGTTACAGTACATGAATAAGGCTATTCTATCAATGAAACATCTGTAAATGATCAAAAAGTATATATAGGCTTCATTTTGTAAAATGTCACTTATTATTAAACTAATTTAGCATTCTTTTATAACAGGAAGTAACACATGGGATTTCAATGGAAGTGAACTAGAATAAAAAGCATCACTGCATCCACATTCAGAGACCAGAATAATCAAAATTATGAAGAAAGAAACAGCACAGCAATATTATGGAAACATGGGAATATCATGTTATTTTATTTATATTTTTTGGCAAAATGTTTGGAACACGATAGAAACCATATATATACTGTATATATATACTGTATATACAAAATGTGATGTAAAATAAGCTTTTAGAAAACCACACTGGAGTCTTTGATCTAAACGTGTTTAAGTTATTATTTTAACAAATCAAACAGATTTTTTAATTCATTATGGTTCAACATACAAACACCATCCCTAACCAAGTAACCCCTGAAAAGCTCCCCAATTTTTGCACTTTATGTTTTCATGCTTGTGTGTGTGTGTGTGTGTGTGTGTGTGCGTGTGCGTGTGTGCGTGTACACATTATAGACTAGAAGCAAACATAATTTGTTCGGGTGCTTATCCCCCATCTGTGTTTTCATCCATCTATTCAATGCTTCCTCTGTCTCACTGATATCATCTCAGTTCTCCATCACAGGAATCTGGCTTCATACGCTGCACCTGAGGAAATGCAGAGAACCTTTGTAAAAGATAATTAGACAACACTTAAACCTGTCAGCGAAATTTTGCCTCCAATTAAAATAGATGAATTGGCAAGAAAGA